TGGTTGAGTGGAGGATAATATAGTTAATTTATAAAATTATTTCTTTTAAACATCTGGAATTGAAAGACAATGGTGACAATGAAACTGGCATAGATTGTCACAAAAACCTTCTGTGTCACAAATGCCCTTCAGACTGGGAAAGCTGCCAACCAATCCTGGTTTAGCCTATGTGTTATTCCAAACCCACAACAATGTGGTTGACCGTTAACCACACCCAAGAAAGAATAACAAAAAGAGAAAATTCAAGGGAATGTAGTATGATGTAGTGATGTAGTAATAGTAATGGCTGGTTTTCTAAGGAATTAGAGGAGGAATTTGACAAACAAAGTGTTGAAGCTGAGAAATAAGATTGGAGAAAATTAGCCTGATCATTAGATCGGCAAATAGGTTGAGATCTGTAAATATTTTATATTTAGATGTTTTCATTACTTGTGGAGCAAGATAAGAAAAGTCAGTAGTGGATGTTTTCAAAGTTCCATACATTGAAAATGTAATTCAGTACCTCAGAGATTGCAGACTGTTATAAAATCAATTGCATATTTATGCTATGTTCAAATGTTTTATTATTTTGCATTTTAATTGAAAAAATGTTGAACGATACAAGTTCTAGCTGCAAGTTTCCTCTGGTTTATTTCCCCAAAACTTTGTGTAGTCAATTAGAACCATTCTAGAAAGTGTATGAAACATAATAATAGAACTTTACAAACTGAAATGTTTGATTGTGGATCATTATTGTATGTGATCTTTCTATTGGCCCACATCTTGGTATTACTGCAGATCTGGTGTGCAGCAAATAGCATTAAGTCAATCATATCCTGATTGAATCCCCCAATGTATTTTCCCTAATACTTCATCATCTGCATTGAAGGTTATATCAGGATATTTTGGAAATGTATTAATGTAGTAAACATTCCACTCCAGACTGATCTCAAAACACCAAGACCTAGATCTCTGCTCCACCCTATGCAACTGAATCCTCAGCTTCCTGCCCCATAGACCGCAATCAGTGAAGATAGACAACTGTACCTCCTCCACGATAACCTTCAACATTGGAGCCCGCCAAGAATGCCTTGTCAGCCCCCTGCTGTACTCCCTGTACACCTACAACTGTGTCGCCAAATTCCGAACAAACACCATCTACGAGTTTGCTGACAACACCACTGTGGTAGGATGGATATCAAACAACGATGAGGCAGAATACAGTGAAAGGATAGAGGGCTTGGTGACATGAGGATATGATAATAACGTCTCTCTCAATGTCGGCAAAACTGAAGAACTGATCATTGACTTCAGAAAGAAAGGAGAAGAACATGTCCCCATCTATATCCACGGAATGGAGGTTGAGAGGATTGAGAGCATCAAGTTCCTAGGAGTGACGATAACCGATAACCTGCCCAGGACTTCCCACATAGGTGCAATGGTCAAGATGGCACAACAACGCCTCTTCTTCCTCTGGTGGCTCAGGAAATTTGACCCTCACTAAATTCTACAGATGCACCATAGAAAGCATACTTTCCAGATGCATAATGGCCTGGTATGGCAACTGATCTGCCCAGGACCGTAAGAAATGACAGAAGGTGGTGTGCACAGCCCAGACCATCACGGAAGCCAACCTTCCATCCATGGACTCTATTTACATGGCTCGCTGCCACGAAAGGCTGCCAACATCATCAAAGACCCATCCCACCATGGTAAAGATCTCCTACAACCTCTTCTATCAGGCAGAAGTTACAAAAGCTTGAACACACACGCCATCAGAATCAAGAACAGCTTCTTCCCTGCCATTATTAGACTGATGAATGGACTCTCTAACTTCAAATAATGTTGATCTTGTTAATGTTGATCTTGCCAAGTGCACGCCCTGTGCAGTGCAATCTGAATGCCTTACTCTGCACAAGTTTTTTTTCACCCTATTATCTGTATGTCGTTGCTTACTATGATCTGCCTGTACTGCTTGTAAACAAAGCTTTTCACTGTATTTAGATACATGTGAAAATAAATCAAATCAAATCAATTCAAGGATAGGTTAAGCATGTTTCCTGAATTTAGCAACACATAAGATTAGAGCATGGTAAAGTAGCCAAGTTGGAAAAAGAAGCAAAAGATTTTAGCAGCCTATGTTTTAACAGTGACACAGATAGTCGACAAATGCAAACAAACAAATTCATGTAATTATAGTGCTCAATTTTAAATCTGTTCCAAACAGAATAGAAAAGTTTCATATATGCCCTCTGTCTTAGAATATCTTTCCAATGTGAGAATTCAGTGCTTATCAAAAAATTCTGATTTTATCTAATCTTTATTGATACTGTACTATTCTCTGGGGTAAATCAAATCAAATCAAATCAAATCAATTCAATCTCCCAAATTTCATTCTGTCCTCAGAATCTCCTCCATTTTCTCTTCTTGGTTACAGGGTGTCCCTGACTTATGAATGTCTGACTTACATACAGACTTATGAATGCAATCTTATACAAGGCATAATTTGAAAGATCTGACATACAACCATCTCCTGTGCTGAAAAACGGCTACTTTATATTTTCCTGTATTGTGTTCTGACTTACACACAAGTCAACTTGTGAATGGATTCAACAATGGAACCCATTCACAACCCGAGCAGTGCCTGTATATTGAATAATCCATTGTCCCTCAAGTCACTACTGGCTGAAAAATTGATTCCTAACAGGTTGGAACCATGAGCAGCCAATCTGAAGGGGGCATTGCCCTGACAAATGAATGCCACACTCCAATCGATCCCGAAGATCTAAGGTGTGATGATTCATTGATCTAAGATTGACTTTCAGAAGATGAATGAAATAGATCAATGGGAGGAGAGATTTCCTGAACCAGGCTTTCAACTGGGGAAGCAGTCCCTCATTTGCAAACAGTTCTCTGAAAATGGGACCTATTCACTTTACAGACCCGTGTTATGCTGCAACCTTACCACAAGTTTACCTTCTAGTTTCTTTCACTGTGTTAACACAGTTTCTAAGCTTAGGGTCACCACACATTGAGTCATACAGCACGGAAACAGAACCTTTGGTCCAACTAGTTCATGTCAAACATAATCCCAAACTAAACTAGTCACTGTCTTGTGGGAAATTCAGGGCTGGAGGAATTTAGTGATTCATTTTCCTTAATCGACAGTCTATATTCAACTTGCATTCAGATCTCAATGACTATGCTTTTGAAGTATGGAACAGGAGGCTTAGAGAGGGTAACATTTAAGATGTGTTTAGACATACACTTGTGACACCTAAAATACAAGACTATGGGCCACATGCCAGAAAATGGGATTGGAATAGTTAGATGATTGTTTTTGACTGGCACAGATTCGATGGGCCAAAGGGCCTTTTTTATTTGCAGAAGATCTATACGACTCTATGATCAAATGACATTACAGACTCATTTGAGGTGAACAGAGCAAAAACTAACACAAATATTAAATGTTCCCCACACTTTCACTGTGAGGTAAGTTCAGACATTTCTACAGAAAAATGACCAATGAAAAGAATTGATGGTAAACTTCAATATTCTTTCATCAGCTGTTAAATGTTGATGTGTATGTATCAAAGTGAACGTCTCCTTGATCATATCCTCAACATTTTAATTCAAGACTGAAAACAGAAAATGCTGGAAATCACAGTAGATCAGGCAGCATCCGGGAAAGAAAGCAAGCTAACATTTTGAGTCTAGATGGCTGTTCATCAGAGCATCATTTTAATTCGAAACATATGTAAAGGTAACGTCACACAGTCCCACAGGACCATTGGGCTGCTCAGAGAGAGATGATTGGTGGCAGTTTAACCTGACAGTGACATCGCCTCAAGTGAGGGGCGATTTTGAAAAGGCTGGACTATCATGGTGGCATTGGCTGGTATTTGAATTGAACTGTGTACTGTTTGCATCACTGTGCATCACAAACAGCCATCCAGCTGACTGAATATATAAAGCTCAACTACCATTCAGGTTAACAGGGCAAAATAGATCAACTTAACTTGCTGTTACAGAAACAAATAATGACCCAGAACTGATGGAACTCCTCAAACCCAAAGCAACAATGAGAGATGAATTTTTACGTTCTGTTTGGCAATCAATTGGTCTTGTCCATTCAACCACTGGTCCATCAGTACTCTGGTCATTGTCTGTGAAGTACGAGCAGTTTTAGTGTTTTATTTTCCTCAGGATGCGGAACTGAACAAAAGCCAAAAAGGTTGATGTAGTAATTAACCTTTCAAAAAAAGAATCAACATTTAAAAGCAACCTCGCAATGAAACATTTTAATAGTTTACAGCAAACATCCTTGAAATTTAATGGCAAGGGATCTCTTTATGAGTCACTTGCTCAGGTTATCACTGCAAAACTGTGCAGAGGCTATCTCATTCTGCTTGATGTATTGGCTATGTGTTTATCTTCTTAGTGGAGTTGTTGTAAAAGGTATTAAAGCATAACCAAAACGACTGGCAAGGTGTTATTGAAGAGAAGTCTAAATGTGTATTTATCAATGTTTGCACCGTGTTACTTGAAATGAAGAGTTAATTAGACTAATTTCAAATGCTACTCGAAGGCATAGAGTGCGAGAAGCAAAGTTAATCCAACTTATCATTGTCAATGAGCTGAAAGATGCGTTTGATTTGCTCTGCTGCAATCACTCACAAACATATACAGATGAGTCCATTTTTCAAGGCTAAGACAGAGCTGAACTGATAGCTTCTTGAGATGTGTTTATGAGATTCAACATTAGTTTTATTTGGTGCTGGGCATTGCTAAACTGAAACTGAAAAGCAGTGTAAAGCTTGGTTGAGTAGAGTGAGGAGACATTTATCAGTTTTTTTTTAGGTTTAAGAGGAGTTATATGAGCTGCTGGTACCACAGAGCCACAAGTTTCATGCTACAGTCATTGAAGCAGAATTCTGAAGCAGCAAACAGCCTGTGATCTTTGTTGTGTACAACATTTAAAATATGTTGGTTCTAACCAGATCAATTTTGCCTTTTTTTAGAAAACACGGCTGGAATCCTAACACACAGAAATGGCTTTAACCGTCAGGAACAGGACATTTACTTTCTCCCAATTCTAGTGGTTGACAGTGGACCACCACCCCTGAGCAGCACAGGTACCCTCACAGTCCGGGTGTGTGGGTGCGACAGTGATGGAACTATCCAGTCATGCAGCGCCACTGCATATGTTGTTTCTGCAGTCTTGAGCCCAGGGGCACTGATAGCTCTGCTAGTCTGCATTCTTATACTGATAGGTAAGCAATTAAGATGATTCATTAAACTGAACAAAAAGCAGTTATTGTTTGGTTATTCCACTGGGAGCCTTAAAGTTTAATGAACAAACCTATATCCATTCAGTATGTAGCTGGCAGTAGCTGAACTATAGAGTATGGCCAGGTCTTCCATTCTCCACATGTAGATCAGACACATTCCAAATTGGAACTCCGCGGTAACAATGAGCATGGAATTTGTGGGAATTGACTGGGAAGTTTGAACATCCAATGGGTATTCCCTCTGCTTCCTTCAAAAAGTTTAGTCAGAGACTCTGGAGAATTCTGATCTTTTTACCTGGAAAATTACTTGGAAAATCGTGGACGGAGAAACCATGCACTCATTTTCAGATAACTGGTCATCAAGCCCCATCCTGTCTTCGCCTCAGCCCTCAACTACCCAATGGTTTCCCAACTCCTCACCAACCATTCTGACTCATCCCTGAACAATCAACTCCCAGCCTAATCTTCGGACTCCCTCACAGCTGATTGATCCCTCAAATCTGCACCTGCAAACTTCTGGTTGTCTGCTGACCCTCTGACATTCCCAGGCCCTCCACTGCACTATGCCTCTTCTTGACTCCCTGACTCCCCTGTATCTCTGACTCAAACACCCATACTCCCCCAGACCTATTCTGACCTAATGTCACACCCTACTGAGCAACCACCCCAATCAACTTGCACCTGACCAACTATGACCCTGCCACTCATCACCCTCCCACTGCTCAGCTCCCTTATCTATACCTCATCCTACCCTCTCACTCTCATACTTCACCCACCTTGGCCCCTCTCTTACCTGCACCTATGCATTCACCTGTTTATTCCAACATTCCAACTCTCATTCTCACACTGAGTAGTTCCTGAGCTTTTATACCTCATTAACTATAATATGGCAGCTAGTGTCGTATAAAGGGAAGCGTAGCCTCTGCACAGTTTCTACTTTTACCACCGAGAACGCCTGCACTGACTATGGGAGGGAGGCGATGGCCTAGTGGTACTCTCGCTGGACGGTTCTTTGCAAACCTTGCAAAGGCCCATTCTTAAACATCAGCTTCAGCTGCTGCAGCACTATCCCCTCCCCAACCTCTACCTTCCCCCCAACCCCCTCACAAATCTGGAAGCTCCCCCACTCTGAATGCTCACATATAGGATTGCCCACATGCCAAAAACGTTTTGCCAAGAGTTGGTCACGCTTGGCAAGAGCATGGATAACACTGACTTGACCGTGACCTGATGTAGTGATGATGGTGGGTAAACCGGAGTCAGTGCAAGAAAGAACATGAGCAGCAAACTTTTAATCTACTTCATGTTTGTGGATGGCATAGAAGGGAGCCAAGCAGGACTGTGCTAGAGTAGGCAAATCTGGAATTAGGAAAAAGCTTGGAGGAGGATTTTGGCAGTAGATGGGCAGAGGAATGGATAAGGTGGAGTGGCATATTGGATGTGGAAATGAATGGTTTAACTTTTGACCAAGGTCAGAAGACCTATTACAACAAGGTTGCAAACATTTTAGCTTCAGGCAGTTGCCAGGAGACTGTCTTAGAAAAATGCTAACTCCGAGGTACTAACGATTAGGTGATGAAAGACAAACTCAAAAATGTGTTCAGTCCTAGGCTTAACTTAAGCATTGATCCAGCCCCATTCCCCAAACAGTTTCTTCTTAGAGCGTTAAGAATTAATCTTGCCCTGAGAAATATATTTCAAAGAAATCAAAATCCGGAGTTCTAATACAAGAATTGATAAATCCCAGTTCTCTGTGAAGGAGTAAGAGTTTGTGGTAGAATTGGATAAAATCACTCAGTCAAATTTAACGGATTTTAAATTCTTGTATGGAACATGACATTGCTGTCTCAGCCAACATTTGTCAGCCATTCCATGAGTCATTTTCTACATTATTTCAGAGGGCAGTTTTGGGTCTGGAGTAACATGTAGACCACACCAGGTAAGGACAGCAGATTTCATTCCCTGGAGGACATTAGTGAACCAGATGAGTCTTTATGACCATCAACAGGGGCTATTAGAGCAGTTATTAATTCCAGATTTGTAAAAATTGAATTCAATTTTCATTATCTGCCATGATAGCATTTGAAGCTATGACTCCAGGACATTAGTCTGGGTGTCTAGATTACTAATCCATTGACTGGCACTACACCTCGGTAGGATGGACAAACAGGTGGCATAGCCATTTTTGGTAGGCATGACAGGTTGAAGTTCTCACTGGGCACTGAGCTCTCCCTGCCAGCTTTGAGGGAAATATCCCTCTCAGAAACCCTGCCCTATGCCCTGCCGGCTCAGTCAGAGGCTGGCAGCATCCTAATACCAGCAATGCCAAGCGTGACCAATACCACTGCCTCTCTGCCAGTATTTCAATGTGACCTGCATCACGGATTCACAATGGACCCCAGGGTAAAATGATGAGTGAGCTAGATTTACTGGGACTGAGTGCAGAGAGTTGAGAAAAGATTTATCAGCACGTTGCTGGGAATGGAGAGGACTTATTTCATTGGAGCATAAGAGGCTGAGGGGGTGACCTGGTAAAGGTTTATAAAACCATGAAGGGTATAGATAAAGTGAATGGCAGCTGTCTTTTTCCCTAAGGTGGGGGATTTCAAAACTAGGAGCATACTTTTAAGATGACGGGAGAAACATTTAAAAAAGACATGAGAAACAGCTTTTTTTTATACAGAGAGTGGTTCGTGTGCGGAACAAACTTCCAGAGGAAGTGGTGGATGTGAGTACAGTTACAACATTTAAAAGACATTTGAATAATTACATGAATAAGAAATGTTTGGAGGGATATGGGCCAAGCGCAGGCAGGTGGGACTAGTTTAGTTTGGGATTATAGTTGGCATGGACTGGTTGGACTGAAGGGCCAGTTTCCATACTGTATGATTGTATGACTCTCTGAGTGATATAGCCAACGGGAGTGGTGTAGGTCAGTTGAGGAGTCAGGGTGAGGTTGATCTTTCTCCAAGTCCCCTCTGTTCCCACTCATGGGTGCCCTCATCAGGCATGAAGTGTCGACCAGGAGGGAATAGTCTCAGGCCTGTACACTTCTGTATATTAGACAATAAACCTGGAAAAGTAAAATTTCTTTCAGTGTTATTGACCTGGAATGTGTCTAATGGCCTCCTTCATGCACATCTTTTTTGTATTCGTCTGAAATGCACCAACAATCTGTGCACATGTTGAGCCCCGCCTTGAATATACTTGAAACTGGAAACAAATTTTGCTTCAGCATCTTAAAACAAATGGTTCTGGAGTAGGGAATAATTCCTTAACATGATGTCTTTTGTTTTGATACAGTACTTGTCCTACTCATCTTGACGCTGAAGAGGCACAGAAAGGGTCACATGATCTCAGAGGATGAGGAAGACATGCGTGACAACGTCATTAAGTATAATGACGAAGGAGGAGGGGAAGAAGACACTGAGGCCTATGATATGACGACATTGCGAAGTCTATATGATTTTGCAGAAGTTAAAACAAACGGAGAAAACGTGACCCCTGAACTTCATTCTCTGCCCCAATGGTTTCAGAATCCAGATGCAGATTTTTCCATTTTCAGGAGTTTTGTCTGTAAAAAGCTGGAAGAGGCTGATGCTGACATCTCAGTTCCTCCGTATGACTCTTTTCAAACATACGCATATGAAGGCACGGGCTCCGTGGCACAGTCGCTCAGCTCCATTAACTCTCTGTCAACTGACTCAGATCAGGACTATAACTACCTCAGTGACTGGGGGCCTCGGTTTAGGCAGCTTGCCGGACTTTACTCAGGAAACCAGGCAGATGATGGATCATAGCATCCGAGAGCCAAACTCCCAGTTCCTCTTGCATTATTGCAAAAGTAATACGATCATACCCAACAAAAACAGTGCAGCTTAAGTCCTGAAAGCTGACACTCGGGAAAGTCAAAATGAAAATTTTCCTCTTCAAAACAAACACCTCCTCCAACTAAAATCCCCATCCTGGAAATTGGCAAGTCTTTTTCAATCAGTTACTGTGGCTGAAGATTGAGCAGTAAAATGGTGATTGAAAACACAATGTAGAACATGGTATAGAATCGTGACAAATCTCCAGTCTTCAATGCATTAAAAAAAAAACCTGGCAGCTACAGTGAAGGTATTACTCAAGTATGGTGCAATGGTCCAAATTTGAAGACAATAGGTCAAGTAACTACAGACCATAAAGTAGCAATGATGTGTATGGGGTGACATTTGCTGTTTTGAAATTATTTAATTGTTTAATTCTTATAAATAATTCTGTTAAAATCCTTACAAAATGTCTTTGCTTACATGATTTATTTATTTGAAGGAGTAAAAGAGTAAGAGTTCATAGGTATTGGCGTTGCTGCAAGCTTTGATTACACAGTAAGTTGGCAGTGCCAGTTCTAATTAATAACACTAATACCAAATCCAGCTGGCAGTGGTCAAGAGGTATCACCAGGTTAACTGTAGATTGCTGGGAAGTACTTGGTCCATGGTACCCCAAAATGAAAGCCAATTTGCAAACATCAATTCAGAAAGGATTCATCAAAAAGAAAACAAAAGGTCACTGGCATGGAAAATGGGAACTGAAATAATCTTTGATAGCTTGCTTTACTTGAATTGAAAATAGAGGAATTAGCCATCAAGTTGACACCCAAATGGAAAATGAATTCCCAGTAGCCTCACAATGATCAGCAGACCAATCAAGAGATGTATAAATTGAAAGCTAGAATTCTGTGACTTCGTATTTCACAAAGGTTTGTGCATATCTCCCTATAATGCACTGTACGCTCAATGTACCAGGGTAAACAATTCTCTGTGCTCTAGCTGGAGGGCAGTGCAAACAGAAATGCTGATATGATTTACACTGACAATACAATGATAAATCAGGGCCACTGGTTTATGGTGACTACCAGTTCCACACCTCACAAATCTTTGAATGAGGCAATATCTGTTCATATATTTGGGATACCAGGACTTTTACATGCTTCGTGAATCAATTTGTTTTTCCACAGAAATAGAAAAACTAGTATCTGTAAGGTGTAAAAAGGCAGAGCTCATCTGTTGCTGAATAAACAAGTCCAGAATATGTTTTTATTGTTTTAGATCTAAGACTTTTAACCAGAGATTCAAGGATTATGTTCTAACACAAAATTGAAAAATGCAATCCAGTGGCCTTGGTCACAACAAAAAAATAGTTGGGTGACTTTACTTGTATTTGTGAAGGTTACCTTTATTTTGTTTTTATTTTGTTTGCTACACTTCCAGTGAGCTTAATAGCTTGCAAACACCATTGGCAGCTTCAGACCCTCTAGAACTGCTATGTCAGAACAGATGGCCTCCATAGCACATCCTTGTCACTTCGGATTCTCTCAGCTGTACCTGCCGTTGGTTTGTCCTATTGCTGGAGTTCACTGGTTTGAGGAATTCTTTCATTTGAAACAACTCTCAATGCTCCTGGGACACCGATGCAATAAGCGGAAGCTTGAGGTGACAGTTTCTATGGGTCTGAGTTCTATTCTTCCTTTTATTGATTGTAATGTGGCTTGAGCGTTGATGTTTGCTCAGTTCCTCGCAGACCTCCCCATCAAACCTTGACAACACAGTCAACCAAATTCAGACACTTTCTTGCTGGGACCTCAGGCTATTTGAGGCTTAATGTCACAAGCTTACCATGTAGTATTCTTTAACTATAAAATCCAACACAACCCTTTGTGTCACAAAGAATCAAAAGCGTGTGGAATGGAGACAGAACTTCCCCAGTTCGGATGCCCTACAGGTGGAACTACCATCCTTCAAAATAAATGTCAGAAGTCAACAGGAAGAAACAGACTGAACATTTCTGACAGTTCTGGCTGTAGGCTGTGCTAGAGCTTGCAAAGCATGACTTTTTCTACAGAAAGACGCTGTTATTAGGTCCACTGTGTGAAATGCAAGTATCTGTGTCAGTTTTCCTTTTGCTGTAAAATATGACAGAATTGGTACATTTTTATAATGCCACACACCCCAGACCCCTTCCCTGTATAGTGATCAGAAGGAAGCAGTGAAAAGGTAAATATTTCTGGTGCTATGTTCAATATTTTGAAACACGATAATCAGAAAATAAAACTTTCAATACTCATTTTCATGTGATTAATGAGGTTTCTTATCATGAAGTTGACTGTTTAAAATTGTAACTTTTTTTTAAGGGCATCAGTCTGATCTGGATTGAGGTACCAGAAATCTGGCAAAATTGGCAAGTATAAAGTAGATGGAGATAAGTGAAACAGCAGTGGTTGCTTGATTTTTTTTAAGAAGGAGTTAGAGGAAGATTGAAGGAAGGGAGGAGCCTGAGAATAAAAATAGAAAATTAGTCAGGCACTATCTGTTGGTAGAGAGAGAGCAAGGAGAGCTAACATTTCAGATCTTTCATCAGAACTGGATGATGTGAGACTTTAACAGCGTCTAAGCAATTACTATAATTCTGGAGAGTGGGTTGGGATTGAAGAAACTGCAGTACCAGAGAATGTGGTGTGTGTCATTCAATAATGAGCATGCAAGCCAAAGAACTTGGAAGGTAATAGAGTTCTAAAGATCTATAATGGGAGCTATATCAAGTAATTGGAAAAAGATAACAAGGGTAAAATTCAATTCAATTCACTTAATAGTAGAGATCAGAGACCCTTTATAACCATCCCACCCAATTTTCCTTAAATGAAACCAATGGAAAGGGCAAATGCATAAAAGACAAGTGATTCCAAGCTCTCTGTAGTTGAATTTCACCCTAGGACCATCAATATATGTCTCAAAAATCATCACTAATTCAACTGGACGCATTTTCCTCTCTCCACATTCTGAAACTTTGGCCTGAGTATAAAAGAGGTCTCTTATTTAAGTTGTTTAATCTTCCTGTTAATTTTGGCACAGAGATGAAAGAAATACTGTACTTTGTTAAATAAAGCAAGCTTCTTCCTATAATTTGTTTGAAGAGAATAAAATGTATGCACGGAAAAGCAAAGAATGAAATATTGACTAAACTTAAATTAGATTTTTGTTAAATACTTCAATGCCTTGAGGCACATTAACGGTCTCCCATGAAAAATGGACAAAAAGCCTTTGAAAAATTAACCAACGCTCTCAGTTATGCACAGCAGGGATAAAACACCTAAACATTTCAATAGGACTGATTCATAATTCAGTGATTTTTATACAATCAATTGCTCTCGCAAACTGGCTATTTTCTGTGCAAACACACCCGTTGGCTTTGTGCACAGTAGATCCCACTGACTAAAATAAAAATTAATGTTTTTATTTGGTGATGGATGTTGCCAGAAAGGGAATTGGGGAAATTCTCGATCTTTCTTTCTGAGAAAGATGTTAGAATAATTTTAGAATCATATTATCTAAAAAAGCAGGTCAGGCTTTGATTCAGTTGTTCTACTGGCAGCCCTGATTCATAAGCTTGTGAGTTTAAATTCTCACTCCATAGAGCTGGGCACAAAATTCTGATTGACATTCTGGTGCAGAACCAAGGGAGTGCAGTACGAGCAGAGGTACTATCTTTAAGAAGTTCAACCAAGCCCTGTCTTCCTCCCTCCAGTGTTTATAGAAAGTCCCATGCTATTATTCAAAGGAATATGAGAACTCTTCCTAGTGTCCAATATTTATCTCTCTCAAACACCTCTAAGAGGCAAACATATTATTTGGTTACTGCCCACCTTGTTGATTGTGGGAGTTTGCTGCACTTGGATTGGTTGATGCATTCTTTAATAGTAATTGCACTTCAAAACCAAACATTCATAGGACACACAGAAGTTTTGAAAGTCCCAATATGAATGCAAGTTTCTTTTTTTACTGATTATGTAAACATTCCAACATGAAAGGGACCCCTGCTAAATCTAATATTGGGAGATTAGTCAGAACAGATTAGAGAAGTGCACGCAGGGGAATACCTGGGCAACAAAGATCGCAGCATGATAAGGCTCAAGAAGAAGGACATAGTATGACAAAGACAAAAGTACTTACTTTATATAAAACTTGATTGTAGGAGGTAGGAAATGTATTCCCAATCAAGGGGGATGGGGCTGGACATTGCATGCCTATGCTGGATGTGTTTTTAGCTGTGGGGGGGCAGGCAGAATATGTAAAATTAGCCAGATGCCCGCCCCTCCCCCCAGTGAAGCCATCCCATCCTTCCTTTCGCACTGCTTGCCAAACAGAACCTGCTCCTAAGTTCTCAACTCCCTCTCCCCCACTTCTCTGAGCTCTAGAATCCTTCCATACTGAGAAATCCCATGACTTATTTACACAAGCCAGTCACATTCTTTTACCTGCCCTCTTCCTGTCCTCCTGGCAGTGCCCACTATTGACCTCTGTCCATAGAATACAATAGTAATATAATATGGTGACCAAAAGAGCTCAAGCAAAATGTATCCTACTTAAATGCAACAACAAACAGGGCAGTTGTGCTAAAGCGTAGATAAAAAGTAAATAAAGGCTACATTTAAATTTAAAAGGAAATTTTACATAACAAGTACGTAGCCAACAAAGGATGAAGAAAAAAGGAATATGAAAAGTTTGCAAAAAAATGTTTTAAAGTAGACAAAGGGAGCAAATATTAATTATGAAAGTATATAAAATGAAATAGTAATGTACAGAAATATAAATATCAAAAGTAAAATCAGGATAGAGGCATAATGCACGTGATAAACTCTCAGGTGAGAACATGACAGAAGTATTAAGTAATTACTTGACCTTATTCATTGGAATACTAACACAATGGACATGACGCTACACAGAACAGAGAAAAAAGATATAAAGTGATTTAAGATAGAAAC